GCTGCGGGCGGCATCGTCACCGCAGTTCATGTAGTCGGCCATCTCGTAGCGGTTGCTCTCGACGTCAGCGGCGGAGTAACCAACGGGGATCTTGCGGAGACCGCGAGCGTTCATGTAAGACTTGATGTCGCGGGTGACGGCCTTGACGTAGGGAGCGCAGTTGGTGGTCTTGTCGTCGTTGATGACCTCGTTGGCGGAGAAGAACAACAGTGTGTTGTCGTACTTTGCGAACATCTCGACGGTAGCGAAGATGCTCTGGAGGTAGACCTTGTTGTACGACTTCTGGGGCTCGGCGCGGTTGATGGAGTACTTGGGGGTGTTGAGGTCGAGGGCAAGGTAGATGCCGGCATCGGCGAGGAGACCCATGCAGGCGTCGTGGTTGGCGCTGTTGTCGACAGTGTAGATGCGGACGGTGTTGATGCCGAGCTCCTTGAACTTCTCAATGTCGCGCTTGCAGCCAGCCTCGTCGGCGATGGGGTCCTTTGCGTCGGAGGCGCCACCGGGCTGGTAGTCGACACCGCGGATGTAGAAACGCTCGTTGCCAGCAAAGAAAGCTGCAGATGTTAGTACAGACTTGTATCTGTGATGGTGAGTTCACATACCATTTCCCTTGACAGTGACGGGGGTGATGTTGGCCCGCTTCTGGGTGGCCGCGGGGGTTGCAGCAGCGGAGGCCGCAAGGACGGCGGCAATGGCAAAGGTCTTCATGATGGTCGTGTGGGTGTTGATGATAATTACAGTTGAGCGATTGTTATAGCGACTGCGAGGCCGAAGTAAACAAGTAAAATACTTAGAAGTCCGAAGTAAAGAGCAACTCCCGTGAAACGAGTGTTAGAAGTTGCGATTAGAATAAAGGTGTAAGTAGCAAGAAGCACTTGGAGTCGTGAGATTGAAGAAGGAAGGATTCAACGGGGAGCGCAGCAGGTTAAGCAGTCGACTGCGAGGGAGGCGACGCGTCCAATTCCCTAGTGGACTGCGCCTTCGGCCTGTGATAGGCTGCGACCCCGGTGGGGATCGGTCCTGGCTGGGAGACAAGCATGCAAGCAGCGCCAACCCCTGAACAAGCCGCACCAAGCCCACCTCCAAGCAGCCGCCAACGCGCATGAGCCCACCGTCAAGCCTAGCTAAGCAGACTGGCTCGCCGTGGCGATCATGCTTGGACCGACGGCAGTGAAGCGCGCTGAAACACGCGTCCGCCGTCAATCATTCACTGTTTTCTGCTGCGCAGACGCTGGCGATCGGTATCAAACCTCTCAACGCATGCCGCTGCCCATGTCGCGCAGGCGTGCTGCCGAAATGACGGCCCACGGCTAAGATTGGATAGACGACGTCATGTGGAGGCATCGTGGGCTGCTGTTGCATCCATGGATCGCATGGCTGGCTGGTCGCTGGTCGCTTCCGAAACGGCGATACTGCCTACGCTGTCCTGTGAAACGAGGTAGTCGGTCCGCGCCTGGCACTGTCGACATCACGAGCCTTGGATTCTGGTGAGGCATTTCATTGGCAATTCATCGGCTAATCATCAGCCTCCGTATCTCAAATGCTGGAAGGCGGGTTTCTGGCAGGCTAGTTCGCCATCGTATTATTAGAGCCCTGGCCAGCCTTCTCAACACAACATGTCCAGCCAGCACATCTGGGATCGAGTTCAAGAGCACGCCCTCTCCCCAAACGGATCCCCCGCTGCCTTGCCGCAGCTCTATCGATTATACCTGCGCCAGCCGGTCCAGAATCCCAGTAGCGGTCGAGACTTTCATGTTGGGAACGTAGTCTTTGTTTTACGGGCTTTTTGCCATCATACCACCAGCGCTAAGAACTATTCCTTGCCGACTTCCGTTCGCAAAGGCGCTCGTGTTTCTGGAACCGCCTCGTACCTCACGAACGGGTGTTCTAAACGTAGACTTTATCTTGCATTGTGTTTACATCTCGATAGAACCACGCGCATACCTTCAGATACAACCAAGAAAAAACCTCCTTTGTATACACATTCGTCACTGCGGAGTGCAGCCCGGATCATTACTAATAATAAGAAAACAATGAGAAGTCATCCACTCCTCTATACAGAAACATAGTCCCAACATGATATCGCATCCTCCTCTTTTCACACCGCCACATGGTCATTACATCCTCTATTTGTCCTTCTTCAATCCAAAGTATAATCCAAGTGCCAGCGCGATCACGGCCAGAATCAGGATGACGGTCAAGAGGATCCACCACTTGAGCCTACGCGCACGCCTGGCCGACTTGATGCCTTCGTCCAGCTGCTTGTTCGCGTTCTCGGTATCGTCCTTGACTTGCACGGTTTGCTCCTCGGTCCGCTGAATGATGGGTTCTTGGTAGACGACCTGCTCGTTGAGCTGGGTGAAGAGGAGGGCAAGCTCGCCCATGGTCTTCTCGATGCGCTGGATGTCGTTGTGGCGGGCGCGGACGGCGCCAAGGACGCTCGAGGCTTGGCCGCTACGGTTGGACTTGAGCTGCGAGTTGTTAGTGACGTATTTCTTGTTTCGTGCGATCTGTGTCTACTTACAGCTTGTGTGAAGATGCCCTCGTCACCCAGATCCGAGTTGGCAATCTCGTTGACCTCGGCATCCGTCGCATCCGGGTTGATGATGCGGTACTGGCGCCCGACAGCCTCGCGATACCTCTTGGAGTAGTCTGCCTCCTCCCTCTGGAAGTCCTCTAGCTGTGTCTTGAACGTCCTCTTCAGCGCCTCCACCTGCGTCCTCTTGGTCCGGTCGTTGGGGTCGCGCACGGCGTCCCTCTCCAGGAACTTGATCTCATCCTTGATTTGGGTGTTCCTGATCTGCGTGGCGGTTACGATGCTCTCGAGCTCGGCGGTGGAGCGGTTGTCGGGCGACGATAGCATGCGCTGGTGGACGCTTGCAATGGCTTGGATGTCGGATGTGAGTTGGCCGATGCGCGACTTTGCGCCTTCAATGCGCGCGAAGAAGTCTTCGCGACTGAGAGGCTGCGGTCCTGGCGCTTCCATGCCGGAGTGTCCGGTCGGCTCGCCGTACGCAGGCATGTTGTTCATGGGCACGTCGGTATGCGGTACGTTGGGTGGTTGGGTGTTTGCGCCGGGTTGCGAATACTGCGAGGGCTGCGAGTAGTTGGAGTCGCCATGACGTTGGAGGGGCGCCGGCGGGCTGAGCTGCTGGGCCTGGCCGTCATACTGTTTCGTCGCGTCAGTCTTTGAGTTCAAGCCGCGCGGTCGCGACTGCTTACTCCTCCGTCATAGGGGTTGGCAGAGCCGTAGCCAGTGCCGCCGTATGGGTTTGATTGCGCGCCGTATCCAGCCTCGGCCTGGCCATACGGGTTGCCGCCGTATTGCTGATAGTTTTGCGACATGTTTGGTGTTGGCTGGGATGGATTGGCAGCGTTGGAGCGATGGTTTCGGAATGCCGCAGTGGAGCTTGAGATGAGCCGCGGAAGCTACGGAATCTTGCGCTGACCGACGGACGTGAGCGCGCGGCGTTTAGTCCAGCAATTCTTCCGCACAACAAGACTAGTCTTGATAAAATGAACAGCGGATGCTGGGTCGCTGGGACTGGCAGTGCTCAGAATCGATTAATTGAACCTTGCCGTGGCCTTGTTTTGATGTGGGCTGCGAGGGAAATTAAATGATGGGACCCTGTTGAATCAGCGAGCTCTGAGCCGCGACGACGCACGTCACCAATCGCACAAGAACGGGCAAGGCACGCCCTTAGTCATCGCTAGTGACGATCGCCCGGGCGTAGCGTGCAGTCCCGTGCGAGGCGCAGCAGCACAGTCTCCATCATCACGACAAGGCAGCATCGTTTTGAAGGACCTCATTGTACACTCTCATCTTTTCGATATTGTGTGTTGTTCGCGCGATTGACCTTGAGTAGAAGTACAAGGCCTGCAGCGTACTCGGGTCTAGATCTTGTCGCCCACGGTAATGACCCGAAAGAGGAAGTGTCCGATGCGATATTGATCCCGCCCTGCCGCCATCTTTGACTGGCTATGTTCAGAGACAACCGTGCAACCCGGAGAGCATGACTGCGCCCACAGCTCTACTACAATGTCAGCGCCTACAACGTGGGCTATCGTTCTAAGGCACCCACTCGCAAGCACCACCCTCTTGGCCAACATGGCATCTCGCTCAGCGTATTCTCCTCGTGTAGACTGGGAACTATACAGGTTAGAGCTGCACTTGTACACGGCGAAGCATATCAATGTCAATTCGCGACCAACACGTTTTCTACCACCATATACAAGGAAAACGCTGAACACTCTAGAGCCTACGTCAACGTCAGGCTCCCTACTTTGCATGTCTTTATCTTAATGTAGGCTCTAGGATCATCTCAAGGATTGAGCCAAGTTGCTGGATCGTCAGAAAAGAGTATCAAAGAGAAGATGCACCACCTTCTTCATATGCTGGATGGACTTAAATGGCGCTTCTAGATGCAACAGCGGTTGATCCATGTCTGGAACGAGCTTGTGAATGACGAGGTTCTTTCTACAGAGTGCATTATGAGGGGAATTTAACTAGATGCAGCCGTAATATCTGATCTAGTTTATGTTCTTAGCAATGCTCTTCACCTTTTTAAGTATGCACAAGACTTGAGCGACTCAGCTCGCTACTCAATTAAGAAGTTCCCTCAAGACACCATGAGAGGCCTACGTCAACGTTTCACCCCCCAGCATATCAAGATTTGACTGATCGTTTTGGTGCTGGGGTGAGCGCTGTTCATCGAAAGCAGTGTGCGTCGAGGGCAATGCCAGAGGAGCCGGCTGGTCTTCACCAGGCTGACGAGTTCCATCCCGACGATCAGAGGTGCCCGATCCTCGATCGCCGCCTCCTCGTCCTTCTCCTCGCCCTTGCCCTTGTGCCTCTGCAACTCCCATCGCGTCAGGGTTCTCCGTCCGACTGTAACAAGGTCTGCGCCGTGCGGTCATAAAAGGCGCAACCTCGTCCGGTCTATGCCGTTCCTGTAAACCCGCGACGAAGAAGGCTGCTTGGCTTTCGTAGCCGCTCTGAACTATCCAAGTACGTAAAGGAGCGCGCCATTTAGTTGGCTGGCTAGGGCAATCAAGCAAGCAGTGATAGTAATCTCCGCACCAGCTACAGGGGAAATGTTCTCGGTTTGCGTATAGGCGTTGTTGAAGGACGTCCCATGGAGCTGTGGGATTAGTGGATGGGACTTGATTGTGTTGGATTGACTTACTTTGCTGTCGTGACCGAGTTGCTCCTCTGAAGGGTGACATGGGTTGCCCATGGGCATTGGGACTAGTACCTGCTACTGGAAAGAACGGGTATCCTGGGGCGTTGTCCGGGTAGTAAAGTCCGCTGGTATCCTGGGTAGAACCAGGGCCATACGAGTATAGGCCAAGCTGGTTCACATTGAGGTTTGGTATGTATGCCATTGTTGGATAGACAGGGCAACCACCACTATTCCAAGTTCCAGTACCATAATGGCCGTTCGGAGCGGTAGAGCGTCCACCTCTTTGGCTAAAAGAACCGCCATTACCATCGCGGAAGTTGCTTCCTCGTCGTACAGGGCAATTAGCGCAGTCTTTTCCTGCATGAGCAGAGTTTGGGCAGCCCACACAAAGTAACTCACAGCTCTGCTGATAATGCGGGCCAGCGCAGTTGAAACACCAAACCATCGTTGCTAAGACTAGACTGAAGAGGTACCTAGAGTGGGTCAAGGATGGAGAGTATGCTGCTCATCACGTAGCATTCTGTAGAAGTCTTATATCCTTCTCTTGACATCCAGCAAACTGATATCGGATTTGCGTTACCGTGTTTTCCACCAACAAGCCAACTTTGCTACAAGATGTTCATTGCCATGATAAGTATCAAACCCAGCCGTGCAGGTACCAGGGGTCGTAAGCGTTGCGTGACGCTACAGCCGCGGAACAATGCGATATGCTTGCTGCTTGACGCTTGTCGGCATCTGTACTGCAGACGAAATTCAGTGTCAAATACGACGACTCATCGATATTTATTGAACACGTTGAAGGAAGATGGCAGTAGGCGATTGCCAAGTCAGTTTGCCGCTTACAAGATGTTGTGTCTCACCAAGTAGACAGTACTCAAGGTCTTGACTCATCATTCTCATAGTACGTGAGGGCGCTCCCCACAAGACGTGCGTTGAATGGAATGTACGCGTGCGAACAACAACTAGAAATAGACCATAACAACATTTACCACCCCATCCTCAGAAACCCATTCCTCGAGATCCCTCTTCACAGCCAAAACATCGTATCGTTCAAGGCTCGGTGCCAAGGTCCATGATCGTTCTGGGCCACCGCCTTTCCGTCTGCATCAACTCCTCCTCCATTATCATCATACCTCTTCTCCCACGCCGTATCCTTCTTCAACGCATTCAACTCACGGTCACCCAAGCCCTGATTCTTACCCACATCTATGAGCCCAGGGTCTGCCGGATTGAAGAAGTCGTGGAAGTAGCACCGCACTCGTTCGCACAGGAGATCTGCATAATACGCCGGCGGCGCGTACCCCACGGGCAGCGTTGCTCGAGCATATGTGTAGCAAAGCCAGTTGGTGAAGTTTTGGAGTTGCGCCGGGGTGAAGTTCATGTCGTTCTCTAACACAAAGTAATGTGTTGGGCGGGCGGTTCCTGGTCCGGGGATATGTGATTGCAGGAAGAAGTCGAAGTAGTTGGGATGTGTTACTACGGAGTCGACGACCGTGCCTGGTTTGCAATTGGGATTTTCCCTGTTTTGAGGAGGTTCCTCAGGAAAGAATCGAGTGTGATGGCGCTTAGTGACGACGACGGCGGTGATCAAGGGAGACTTGGGGTTGGGGATTTGTCGCGCTTCGGCAACGCTGGCGTAGGCTGCTCTAATCTTGCGCAATTCGTGAGCACGAACCTTGGGGTACTGTCCTGGGTCAACGCCGTCTCGGTAGTACAGGATGTTGGCTGGCATTCGTCCTTTGTTCCTTGCGGCAAAAGCATTGAGTCGCTGCTCAGCCATGCCTTGCAACTCATCGATGATCTAATCGCCAAGTTAGCTGAAGCCTGTAGTTCTATGGGAAATGCGAGGAATACCTCTTGGTTTTGAGTCTGATAGCTCACTGAGCCAGCATATCGGCCAAACGTTTCATCCACGCTACCGACTAGAGCAGCTAGAGAGCGAGTGGTCTCTTTGCTGCCCTTCTGTGCGTGAGTAACATCTGCGCCAAGGATCATGGTGTCAACCAAACCCGCTTTGTTGTAAAGCATAGGTATCAGTGCTCGACCGTCGTCTTCCTTCAACTTGACTATGTGGTTGACGTTGCCCAACTTGATGTTGACTTTCATGGCGATGTTGGCGAAATAGGGCTTGGGTTTCGAAAGAAAGCGGTCGCAGTTGGCTTGCATCACACATGTAGTGTGCATCCCATAGGCTTGGTCGGCAACCCGCTTGAACTGGTTGTAGAGTACCGTCGTGCCGTATCGGCTTGTCGACGGATTGACGAGGACCACGATGCCAGCGCCGAGGATCTTTGCCTTCTTAAGGCTTTGCTTGAGCTCAGCAACTATGTCTGCAGCGTTCTCGTTGAAGTTAATCGATTCGTCAAGGTGGCCGTTGGACGTACGCTGAATGCCAGTCTCGGAGAATTGCATCAAGAGCTGATCCACAACCCACTTGCCGTACCATTTGTCCACTTTATCGAAGATTGTTTGTGGAAGTAAGACCACAACCGGGCCAACGAAACGTATCTTCGTGTCATAGAACCGTCTCTCATATAGGCCCCAGGTCTTGGACACGTCCTGTACGAGCTCCTTTCCTTGCACTGATTTTGCACCATAGCACACATGGTGAAAGGTGGCCTTGTGGAAAGGTATAGAAAGCGGCTTCTGGCTCACTTTGATGCCTGCAGCACTCAAAACTGAGTTTGGGTGCTCTTGAGTCCCTACACCTAAGGTGGCGAGACCACGCTGGACGATGTTGTTCAAGGTTTCCCGGGGTAGTTTACTGGCAACTTCGAGCATCTTTTCTGTAGCTTCAGGGGAGAGCGACTTGACGTTCTGATGCTTCGCAATCTTCAGCGCTTCGACAGGATACCATTCTGGTGAAGTGTATGTGCCCATATCGGCGCACCGGAAGTCCGACACCGCAATCTGATCTAGGAGAATTCCGTCGATGGCCTTTGATCGCAGATAGTCGAGAACGGAGATCTGTGAGTTGCCAAAGTCGAAGAGCTGATCGCGAGGAGGCCTCCCAAATTGCTTGATCGTTCTCGTCTTGCCTGGAGTGTACGAGATTTCAACCTTGACGTTCTTGAGTGAGTTGTAGCTGTTGTTCGTCTTCCTCAAGTATGTCGATACGTTCAGCGGTTCGTAAAAGGCACTCGTAGCCGAGCTGACGTTCAGCAGTGGATATCCCATTCCAACCTTGACATTTGAGAAGAAACCGTGATGAGCGAAGACTCCAGGAGATAGCTCCTGCTTACCAGCCTCGGTAAAGATCTTCTTACTTCCGACGCGGAAAAGATCAGGATCGGAGGCCATGGTTGCCTTCGTGATGATCATGTTAAGTGCTCGGTCGATTGCAATGGTTTGAGCGCGTTGCAGGTCGATAGTGAACTGAGGAAGAACGCCGTGCGCAGCTTCGGTAAGGTCTCGAACGGGTATCTCGCCTTTGTATTGGAGCCTCAGAGTCTTGACGATCGCATCTAGGTTTTTGGATGGTATAGCTGGGCGGACTGTATACTCACACTCGGCCACGATCTTGTCAACTGGGACGGAGTTTGCATGGAATAAAGTAGTCGGTTTCGTCCATGAGACAATCTGCCGCATTGCATCGCTAGCATAGAGATGCTTCTGGGATCTGAGGAGTTCGTTTGAGTTGATAAGGCTTTCCATCATCAACCGCTGTTTTGCTGCCGGTGGAAGTTTGGTGTTTTCTTCATGAGGTTGTGTCTCGCCTGTTGGCTCAGCGGTGGAATCGGTAGGGCTTTCTTCAGCAACGGCTTCGTCTTGTTCTTCTTTCGTGTTGGTCTCAGCACCGGCTTCATCTCCTTCTTCTTTCTTGTCAGATTCAGAACCGACTTCGTCGTCTTCTTTTGTAACGGGTCGAGCGCTCTCAGCGCGGTCTTCCATTCCATTGACAACGAAATAGTAAAGCACCTCTGGTAGCTTGACCGTGAAATGATTTGTGAGGACGTGGTCGAGGCTGTTGAGACCTTGCGGTCCAACGAACGACGGGCGAATCTCGTGAACGCTCAGGCTATCGGCAGCATCTACACCTTGCTTCGCCTTTGCGAATAGACTGATGGCCTTTTGTCCAAACTGGGCACGGGTGTCAACTTGTTCACAGTCATTGTTGTTTCGTTGATTGCTGTTCGAAGGACCAGTGGACGGGGCGAAAGATTGTCCTGAGCCCCTGGGGGGTGCATTGAGACCAGGCGGCGCATTGTTTGTGGGTGGTGCATAACCTCTGGGTGGTGTTGGGCCTCTGGACGGTGCATGACTTCTAGGTGGCGGAAGACCTGTGAGTGGTGGTGGGACTCTAGGCGGTGCATAACCTCTAGGTTGCGGAAGACCTGTGGGCGGTGGTGGGACTCTAGGCGGTGCATAACCTCTAGGTGGCGGGGGACCTGAGGGCGGGGGTGGAACTCTAGGCGGTGCATAACCTCTGGGCTGTGGTGGACCTCTAGGTGGTGGAGGACCTCTGGGCGGGGGTGGACCTCCGGACGGCCTTCTACCTTGCGACATGATATTTCTCGTTACTAACTGAGAGTCTCACACTTGAAGAGCTGTTTTGAAAGCGAGACGTAGGTATGATGAAAAGCTTCCGCATACTGGAGAAGCGATACTCATATAATCGCATCCTGCACCTTGACAATCGTGCGTCATGTTTGGTATTCCCTAGACAAGTTGTATTAGCAAGCCAAACTATGCTCTGAACAAAAGCTCATGGCAGCAAGCTGTTAGATCAATCGCCAGATCAACGACAGCATGTCGGTGCTTGGAACACCGTTGCCGCTCCTAATATGTGCTTGCCACGCCCGTCGTGATTAATACAGGGTGTCAATTGCTATAATCCAGATCAACCCGGTGACTTCATGTAAACGTGTCTTTGTTAGACCTTGCATGCATCGCGTGACTCTACAATCCCAACACAAAGCGAAGCGCCAGGCGTCTCTGAGATCGCGAGAATTTGTTTACCAAAGCAAAATTTTGATAATCTTGATCAACTTGCGATTTCGGGTAAGTGGTAAGCAGTAACTCCGTACATTTGTGGACTGATGGTCGCGATACGCGTCGAC